CAGGCATGAGAAAATTCGCTCCTTAAGGTGTGTGATGTTTCTGTCCCTCAGGTATAGATGTTTTTTTTTCCTTCCCTGAACCTGGCATGTTTTGTTCAGTTGTTTCTTAAATTTCTACACAAGTTCACAGCTCGTTACATATGGTACCCCCTGGCCCTCTCAACCAGATCTACAATTTCTTTCCAACCTGTGAAGCCCTTACACCTGCACTTATTCTGTGACATGTTTGCTGATAAATAAGCTTTTAAAAAAATGCCTCACTTTATTGAGCTTGTTAGCCAGGACCCTACACCTAAAAGCTCTAAAGGAAGTAACTAATTATTATTAAGAGCACCCTAAATGCTTTCTGTACTTAATAAATCAAATGCAGGCTTTTTTTTTTTTTTGCTTTTTTGGGTCACACCCGGTGGTTCTCAGGGGTTACTCCTGGCTCATGCACTCAGGAATTGCTCCTGGCGGCACTCGGGGGACCATATGGGACGCTGGGGATCGAACCTGTGTTGGCCATGTTGGCTGCGTGCAAGGCAAATGCCCTACCCGCTGTGCTATCGCTCCAGTCCCAATGCAGGCATTTTTTGTGGTTAGGCTCTGATGAGTACTGATTTTTTTTTTTTTTTTATCAAGAGCAGGTGGCTACAAGACTCTAGTAGAGAGGACAGAGCAGTCAAGTGGATCATTTATTTCTGATCAGAAGCTTCTAGGAAATAGGTCTTTCTTGTCAAGAAACCACTCTGTCTTCAAAAGAACAGAAAATGGAATGCAATCACTTGGGATTTCTGCCCTTGTCCCACAGGCCTGCTGAGTGGGTAACTTCTGCTCTATTTCCTGTATTTTTGGGGGGCTGAGTTTAGACGAATCCTTTGGTTAAGCCAAAGATTGGTTCAATATCTAGGGTGAGATCCTGGTGGGATGGAATTGGGTTTTACATACAACTTTTGAATCACTTTGGGAGTCCCAGGAGACAGGAGCCTTGAATGTGCTGGAGAAACCACTACTATTGTTTAGGTCATCCGCTTTCTTGGTGGGGAGCTGGAAAAGGGGGCATCTAGGGATGCTATGCCTGAAGTACTCTTAGCAAGGAAGGTACTAGCTTTTTGCCTTCTCATCTCCCTCTTCTCCTACAGGGAATAAGGCACCTGGTGCCCCTAAAGGCTAAAGCATCAGGAGGCAGATGGTTGTTCTGTGCTCGGGCACTCTCGGTTCTGGGCATAGGCAGCCTGGTTGACAGAGGGTGAAACGGAGTGTCATGATCACCATGACGTATGTCCTAGGGACCCTGTTTCAGACTATCTAGTCCACTGCTAGCAACTTTAGTTTGGAAAAGAATCCCCAAGGTCATTTGCCATTCCCCCAAGCCACTTGGCTTTGGACAGCACAAGGCCCCCTTAAATGGGGCATGAGGGCCCTGAGAGAATGGAGAGCTGAGCACCCTGCCCGGGTCTTTGCTGGGACAAACAGAGAGGAGCCCTCCTCCTTCTTTGGGCCACATGCAGTGGGGCTCAGGGCTGACTCCTGGCTCTGCGCTCAGGGATCACTCCTGGTGGGCTCAGAGGATCATATGGGCTGCTGGGGATAGAACCCAGGCCAGCTGTGTGCAAGATAAGCACCCTCCCCACTGTACCATTGCTCTGGCTCTGAGGAACTACTTCTAAGTGGTGTCAGGGAGGCTGGCTGAGAAGAGAGTTTCCCTCTCGTGCTCTCTCAAGCAAGTGCTGACTGTCTTCCCCTTTTCTCAGTTTAGGAACCTCCTCTTCCCTTTCCCAGCAAGGCAAGGACTCAAGGTCTGCATGCCAAGCCTGTGCCCTACCCCTGGCCAGGGTCAGCGACTCCCTGACCTTCATGAAAGCTCTTCTGCTTTTTCTGCCCATTCCCATGGTCTGCTCTGATTGTTCCGATCTACCTGTACATGTAGCACACCTTTTTCTTTTTGGGTCATACCTGGCAATACTCAGGGGTACTCCTGGCTCATGCACTCAGAAATTACTCCTGGAGGTGCTCGGGGGACCATATGGGATGCTGGAAATTGAACCTAGGTTGGCTGCATGCAAGGCAAACACCCTACCTGCTGTGCTATCATTCCAGCCTCCTGTAGCACACCTTTATGAAGTGACTTAGTCACACTTTTGCCTGCCTGACTGGTCTGTGCACTCTTAGGTCCAGGGCCACCTTTTATACTCCTTAGTAGCTGACCGGCAAAGCTTGCATCAGCTCAATTTTCACTATCGGTGGAATGAATGGCGTACAGTCGAAAGAACACTTAATGTCAGATCAGAAGCCATCTGCTTGGAACTTTTGATTAGATTATTTGACTATCGATGATATAATGAATGTCTTTATGAGCTTGTGTAGTAGAAGGGAGCACCAAATAAAGGGTGTTGGGAGGATTCTCCCAGGATGGGAGAAGCATGCTGAAAGTATTCTATAGACCAAACATGATTGCCACTCAATGCCTCTTTTGCAAACCACAACACCCAAAAGGAGAGAGAGAACAAAAAGGAATGCCCTGCCACAGAGGCAGGGTGGGATGGAGGGAATGGGGGGTGGGAGGGATACTGGGACCAGTGGTGGTAAAAAATGGGCACTGGAGGAGAGATGGGTCTGCTCTGGTCTGATTTGATCATTGTATAATTGAAACCCAAGCACAAAAATTTGTAAGTCTACAACTGTACCTCATGGTGTTTCACTAATAAAAATTAAAAAAAAAAAAAAAGAAAGAAATTCCTAGCTTAGGGGCCCGGGAGATCTGTCAGAGGGCTAATGTGCATGCTTGCATGTCGGGGAACCTGGTTCTACAGGTAACCTCCAAGCACCAAGCTGGGAGTAATTTTTAAGCGCTTGTGTCCCCCATCCCCAAATCACCAGCCTGTTTCAATCACGTTGCAATAGAGTCCTCCATGAAAGGCGACTTCTTAACCCCCATTTGACCTCTGGAGAAGAGGCATATTTCTGGAGGCCATCATGGCCCTAGATGGAAGTAAGGTGAGTGAACACCAGGAAAATACCACTCTGACCTATTCTTTCCCCGCAGGCCCATCTTTACACCGATGACATTTCATTTCCGGTGAGAGGTGTCCAGTTATACTGGTACTTCCAAGGGCAGAAGAGGTGCCGAGACCAGCAGCACATTTGCCTATATCTGTAGCCTGGGCATGTCTCATTCCAGGAAACGTTATTTGTGATTGGGAGAGAGAACTCCCAGCAAGTCCATTTATCATAAGACTAGAGTAAGTGAAAGGTAATCCTTTTTAAAATGTGAGTTATGGAGCTTGGTAATATGCCATTTATCTATGTCTGCTGAGGAAAGACTAAACGCCAGGACAACTGTTTATTACTTAAACAGCGACTGCTTTGTTGTCTTTTGGACTCCATCTTCCATAGAGTTTCAGCAGATAGTGATGCTTGATCATGATGAATTTTGACGAAAACACTGACTAAGCACATAGAGTCACAGTTACCATAGTCGAAACAGGTATTTGAGAAAACAAAAATGTCGAACAGGGTTTGAGAACACATACATGGTAAATGAGCTGTTTAATAATTAGGGCTGTGCCTATTTTAAACACACTTGGGTTTAATGTTTACTATCTATTATATGTGAGGAAGATATCCTGGGGAGAAAGCCACAGGACTTTGGAAAGTGAAACCTCTGCAACTCTCAAGCAGACAGGTTTTAGATGGATGGAAGGGATCAAGGCAGTCAGCCATGCATTTGGAAAGCCGCACTAACAATGAAACCCCAGGATGCTTGTGTCCCTCCCTGATAAAAAACGTTGCTAATTTATGTGTTCACAAGCTGGATGGAACAAAATTGCATGATCTGTATTTATAGAAAATGAATGACAATACATTTATTTAGAGCCCAGTTTTAAGAAAACAGAGAAACCAGAGAGAAAAAAATGACTGTCTGCAGACTGACTTAAAAAAACAAAACAACTGCAGGGCTGGACAGTGCAGCTGGCAGTGTGCCTGCCTTGCCCTTGGCTGTCTAGGTTTAATCCCTGGCACCATGTGTGGTCACCTGAGCCACCAGGAGTGATCCTTGAGCACAGAGCCAGGAGTAAGCCCCCAATACAGCCAGGTGTGGCCCAAACACCCCGGCCAACCTACCCCTCATAACAACAGAAAACAACTGCCGCTGCTTTTGCACGAATAACAATACTGCCCTGAAAATAGCTCCTTGCCCCCACCATGTCAAGGCACTCAAGCCAACGAACACTTATCCAGAACCTTCTTCTCCAGCTTCTCCATATCCTACTGGTATTCCTAGACTTGGCATCTGTCTTCACTTGTAAGAAGGCCAGCTCTCTGCCAGGCGACGGTGTGCAGAAGCCCCGGAAGAGGCTTAAGGCACCGAACGTCTTTGTATTCCAATTCTATTTTTATCCGAAGTTTAGGATACAGCCACACAGGTCCTCGTCCGTCATAATGTAGCCTGGGCATGTCTCATTTAATATTATATTTCAACGAAATGACATTTGCACAAACTTGTATTAAAAGCCAAATTCCAGGTCTAAACTATTGGCCGGATTCCATTAAAAAGAAAAAAAAAAGGAAATCAGGTAAATGAGTGGTGCTGATTAAAAACACCTCCATCAAAGTAGAACACTGTCGCCAAGAACATTAAGAGCCGGTTTAAAGAAAGAAAAAAAAAAGCAGAGGCTACATCAACAGGATGTCACCCTTCCTTTTCCCTGCCTCCACGCTCGACTTTTTCGGGATGCGGAAGGGGGGAGTACTGACCTCCTGCTGGAAATGGAAGGTGAGCAGGGTGGGGGGCACGGGAGTACAGGGGTCTGGGTGTGGGGGAGGCAGGAGAGGAGCAGAGCTGGGGCGCGCGGACGGCGGGCGCTGACCTGGCCCAGAACCGGACGGCCCAAGCCCGGGCGAGCGCGCTCGGGGCCGCTCCCGCCGCCGGCCGCCAGAGGGCGCGTGCGGGGCTGGCGGAGGGAGGAGCGGAGCCCTGAGCAGGGTCAGCCGCGGCGCACGGGCGGCAGCGGCCCCGCACGGCTCGGCTCCCCGCGCGCCTCCCGTGCCCGCGCCCCGGCAGGGAAGCGCCGCCGCGCCCGCGGGATGCGGCCGCCCGCCCGCTGCGGCCGCCGCCTGGCGCTCCCGGCACTGCTCGCGCTGCTCGCCGGCTCGCTGGGTAAGTCGCGGGCCGCCCGGGAGCGCACGGGGGACGCGCGGGGCTCGGGCGCCGGCCCCAGCGCCGACTCCGCGAGCCCCGGGAGGCGCCGGGACGGCCCGGCCCGGCCCTGCCCTGCCCTGCCCCGCCGCCCGGCCCGGCCCCGGCCCCGGCCCCGCCCGCCGCAGCGCCCTCTCGCGGCGCCCGCCCGCCCGGGACCCCGCGCCCCGCCACCTCGGGGCGCGCCGCTGTCGGGGAGCGCTGCCCGCCGCGCCGCGCCCCGCGGCCGCTGCCCGCCCGCCGCCCCGCCGGCCCGCGCCGAGCCCGCGCGCAACTGCGAGAAACTTTGCGAGCCGGGAAGCGGCCGCCGGGCCCGCCCCCCTGCCTCCCGCCCGCCTCTCCCCGGCGCCCTGCGGGCGGCTGCGCTCCCGTCCGCGCCCCGCTCCTGCCCGGGACGGCGCCCCCCGCGCCCCCGGCCCGCGCGCCCCTGCGTGGCGCCCCGCACGCGCCGCCCAACTTGCCCGCGGCCGCGTCGCCCACTCGGCCCGTCGCCCCGGGGCTGCCCCGCGCCGCCGTGCCCGGAGCGGGTGCGCCGTGGGCACGCGGGAGGCCGCGCCGGGGGTGGGGTGCGCTGGGCAGCTTTCCCGAACCTGGAGTCTTTCGGGAGGAAGATGAGAGGACGTGTCGGGAAAACAGTTGCCTGTCGGGTCCTTTTCCTGCCTTAATGTCCCTTTCTTAATCCCCCCCACCCCTGATCGCCTTAAAAAAAAGCCATTTCTTTCTTTTCTTAGGAAATGATGTGCTAAAAAGTCCCCCCTCCTCCCGCAATCACTGCAATTGATGTTCCAGATGAAATATATTTAAGTGTCCAAGCTTGGATTAAAACAAATATCGTCCCCCTTTCTTTGTTCTTAGTTATAGGCTGCTTGTCTTCGAACTGTGAGACTTGCGTTTCCAGTGCGTGAAGAGGCACTCGGCTCCGGAGTCTTAGGAAAGGCAGAAAGGGGCCAATTTGGAAAAGGCAGCTCTTTCACTGCACCGCGCCCGTTTGGGTGCCGCATCGCCGCCTCTTCTGCCCTTTGTTATCCGAACTGAAAGTCTCCTGGTGATGAAGGACCTTTATTTGCATAGCCCTGGCATTTCTATAGGTGCTCGCTCGGGAAAAGTGGGAAACCGGAGTGAGATTAATTGTTAATTAATTGTTACATGCATGATTAAGTAAGCAACAATGTAATTAAAAGTGTGCGGGCACCTTGGGCAGAGAAGGCTGTAATTGATGGCGGGAGCAAATGGACCTGGTGGAGTCAGCGATAGTGAAGAAAGAGTGTTGGACAGGGCGGGTGCCTTGGGAGAGGGGGTCCCTGCACGGTTGGGGGATTCCGGGCTACATCTGCTGGCCTGCTGCCTACAAGTTTTGCAACTCAAAATGGGGTGGGTGGTAGCCAAAATTGGCATTCTATTTATAGCACTGCACTTCATAAGGCTGCTCCAGGCGATATAATATTTGTATATAATATCCACAGTATCCAGGCAGAAATGCACATTTGTACTGCTTGTGTGTATTTATTTATTTTTTTTTATTGCAGCAAAAGGGACTGTCTATCTGTACTGTCCAAACTTGATAATACATGAAAAGACATATGGAATGAACTGAAATGTCAACACATTTTTAGAGATTCGATTAGCTAGTGAAGTTGTCAGATAAGCATAATAAATAAGACATAAGACCTATTAAAAGGTCCCCGTGAGACATTTGGCTCTGTGAACTGGCTTTCATGGGTCGGTGCGGATTGGAAGTTTTGAGGTTTGAAGTAAACCATCATTTCATTTTATTGTGCTCTGCTCTGATGTTCTGGGAACAGGCACCCAGCTGTAAGAGTATCTAATACTAATACTGTGTATTTTGTAATCTTGTTGATACAAAGATATTTTAAGAGGAGTTCTAAGGCATGTGAACTATTCCGATAGCTTAAAACTACCTTAAATGGGTGGCTGGAGAGATAGTACAGCGGGTAGGGTGCTTGCCTTGCTTGTCGCCAGCCCTGATTTCATGGCCAGCACCACATATGGTCACCCAAATTGCTCCAAGAGTGATTCAAGCCGCTCCAGGAATGAGCCCTCTCTAAGCAGGGCTGCAGGAGTGAGCCCTGAGCACAGCTGGGTGTGGCCCCAAAGCAAACAAGCAAGACCTTTACTATCCCCTTATTAGGTTGGCTTGCCTGTATAGGGTTTAGTTTCCCCCTGTTTGATTTAGAAAAGACGCAGTAGAAAAAATTTATTTCAAACCTGTATAATGAGAAGGACAAAATTCATTGCAACTTCATTGCTGACTGTGACTTTTTGTATTAGTTTTTTTTTTTTATAAAATGGGGAGTGGGGAAGGGTAGTTATATAGATAAGATACTAGAATTTTCTTTTCTTCTCCAGTTTTCACAGACTAATTCTGCTGTAGCAGCACTGCTGTCTGCCTGCTCAGCAACCATTATTCCTTTTCTTTACTAGCCGACAAAACTCTTCGATGATCTGGAGTGCTATGGAGGGAAGTGTGTCCCTGCAGATCAGAGGCGGAAGCCTAATCTCCAGTGTGTTTGGGGAGAGAATCTGTAAAGGGGTAATCAGTTTACCGTATGATGGTGTAAAAGTGGGACTAATCCCCTGGGACTGGCATCCTTAGGAGCGGAGGAAGAGACCTGGGAGGAAGGCAAGCAGGAAGGGCCACGGGGAGAAGACATCCATCCTCAAGCCAAGGATAGAGGCCTCAGCAGAAACCAAGCCTGCTTTCGCCCTGACTGGGATCGGGAACGATCTCTGGAACTGTGGTAAATGAATTGCTGATGTATAACACATTGATGCTGGTTCAGAGATTGGTGTGAATTGAGCCACATCGAGTGTGAGCCACTGGTGGTACTTGCCAGCGTAGGTGGGTTAAGCCCTCCTACCTGTGGTTTTGGTCCTGGCACTTTGATAAGTTGGGTGAGGGGAAGAATGGAGAACTGGTACTGGTGTCTCTGTGGCCATCGGGAAAGCATTTTCTAGTAACCCTTGCTACAGGATAGCAGTGGGCTTATTGCAGATTTCTGAGTGGCATTCTTGGTGATTCAAGCTTATTTCCCAGGCTGGCCCAAATATGATGCGGACTGTTTTGTTTCATTGTTCTTTTCACTATGTGTTACTATGGGACTCCGATGGCTGGAGCCATGGTGACTATTTTGTGACCATGAGGTGGCCTTGAAGATGGACACTTGGAGTAAGTGTAATGGAACAGGGAGGAGAGCGCCCCCTGCATGTCAGGAGAGGCAGAGCACTGTTCTGTCCCTTAAGCCACTATCCCAGACTTGTCACACCTAAAACTAAAAAGCTCTCTGGGTCTTCTGTTATAACCTGCCAGATTGAATCCTGATCAGCTTCCCAAATTGATACCTCTATGAAGAAGTGTACTTGATCCAATGATAAAATAATTGCTATTAACTTTTATCTTCTTTATTTATACTTCTATGTGAACTGAGAACATATTTCTTAGTACCCACCAACATGAGGCATGACTTTTCATTTTGAGCCAGCTCCGTTCATTGTTGTGAGTTGGAAATATGAGGCCAGAGAGAGCTAGATCTGACTTGGGATGGCATTGAGTTTCTTTTAGTTTCATAATTTTTTTTTGTTTTGTTTTTGAGCCACACCTGTCTTTGCTCAGGGCTTGCTCCTGCTCTGGGTTCAGGGAACAGTTAGGGCACGGTTCTGGGAACTATATGGGGTATCAAGAATCGAACAGGGCAGCAGACACCCTACCCACTGTGCCATCTCTCCTGCCCTGTCTCAGTGTTTCTGATTTGAAGCCCTTTAGTCCCTAAGCCTCAGTTCTACTTCCGAGCTCCTACTGGCACAGATGTTAACCCTCAGGCTGAATTCTCTGTCTCAGCCTAGTCCAGGACCCCAAGTTGACAGTAGTCCTGGATTGGCTGAAGGGAGTGTGCCTGTAGCCAGCAGTCAAGCTCTTTGGGGGATGTGGGGGATAAAGCTGACAGAGACGGATCCTTCTTCACTTTCCTCTCTGCCAGATGCCCTTAAATGTATTGGACCTGCTGATGCTTTCTCGGGACCAGGATGGACTCTCTACTCCCACCTCCTTGTATGTTGGATGCCTCAGCAGCCCCATCCACATCCCAAAGCTCCCACCCAGTTAAAAAGCTACTCTAGCCTTACCGTCCTGATAAAAATAATATATGCCCTGAACAAGCATGATGATCTCTCAGTATCTGTATTGCAAATTGTGATGCACAAAAGGAAAAGGAGAGAGTTAAAAGGAAAGTGATTCCCATAGAGGGAGGCTGGGGGTAGGGAGTGGGGTACTGGGGGCTGGTGGGAGGAAAACAGAGGTCATGGGTGGTGGGAAATATACACTGATGGAGGGATGGGTGCTGGACCATTGTATGACCGAAACCCAGTTATGCACATCTTTGAAATGGTCTGTCTCGTGAATATTCAGTTAAATAATTAAAAAAAGAAATGGTGGCACAGGGTCCCATGGAAGGCTCCCTAGAAGTCGGGGTGGGAGCTCAGAATTGAAGAGGGAGTAGACAGAGTGAAGTGGAGGGAAAAGGAAAGAGCAGGGCCCTGGTGGCAGGTGTGCAGGAGAAATCTGGTATAGAGAGGACAGGATTGGAAAGCCGCAGAAAGGAACTGGGCAGATTCCTAGGGGTGGGCACGCAGGGCCTTGGGCAGAGTTTGGACCATGGGGAACACTTGGAGCACTGCTTTGGTGACACGATTTATTTTTTGTTGTTTTTGGCCACACCTGGTAGTGCTCAAAGCTGACACCTGGCTCAGTCCTCAGAGGTAAGGGTTGTTGCCAGCTGAGCTCAGGGGAACCTGGGGTGCTGGGTACTGAATCCAGGTCTCTCCCGTGCAAATCCTGCACTCCCACCAGCCGAGCTTTCTTTCTGGCCAGTGATTTGACTTTGGTTTCGAGACACTCCCCCTGGTTATCTTACACAGAAGGAATTTTTTTTAGGGGGGGCAATGCA